AATGATCCCAATTAAACTCCCAGAGGTTTTTTTTAAGGCAATAAAAAAAATAAGATATATATGGAGGAATAAAAAAACCTAGAATATCCTATGAATTGTTAAGTAGAAATAAAGAGAAGGGTGGATTGGGAGTGCCAGATTTTAAGAGATATTACAAAGCAGTAATTTTAGTGAGAATTTGTGATTGGACGTATAATCCAAAAGGGAAAAGCTGGGTTAAAATTGAAAATGAACTTAGTGGAACTAAACTGAGTAAAATTATATGGGTGCCAGCACAATATAGAGGATTAAAAGATAGCACAAGTTTATATACTTTAAATGTTTTAAGAGTTTGGGATATATTGCACAAACATATGAAGTGGGATTTTAATTCACTATTAATGCCACTGAGGAACACAGAGTTTTTTCCTCCAGGAGATTACAGGAAAATGGTTTAAGAAGGAGGATGTCCAATTGAGAGATATAATTGGGGGGGGGAATTGAGATCACTTAAGGATTTGGAAAAGGAAAAGGGAGAAATTTTCACTAAGATCGATGAGTGGTGTTTATCACCAATTAAAACACTTTGTTGGGAATCTTCCAAAACCCTTGAGATCTAGAAAGGATTGGAATTTGTTTGAGAGGTTGTTGGAATCACGGGGAGATGGGAAACACGGTACTGCTAAAAATATATAAAATTCTCACTGAACTAGACACAAACACAAAGCCAATGTATATAGCAAAATGGGAAAGAGATTTGGGGGTTGTGATAGAAGAGGATAAATAGAAGAAAATATATAGATTAACTAGTAATTAGAGGTGGAAATAAATTACAAGTGTTTGATAAGATGGCACATTACACCGAATGTTGAACATAAGATGAGTGGGGAGAATTCACCATGGTGTTGGAGGGGGTGTGGAGAGATAGGCACGGTGTATCACATATGGTGGGAGTGCTCAAAAATTCAAGTATTTTGGAAGACAATAGTTCATTTAATTGGGATGATTACTGAGATTGATATTGGATTGGATCCAGAGACTTGTCTTTGTCTTTAGAATTATCAGTGAATAAATATAAGGAATTGGGTATATGGTATTATCTAAACGCAGCAAAAGGTTTGATACCCAAGTTTTGGCGTAAGACAGAGGTGCCGAAGGAAGATGATTGGGTGGATAGAGTGAACCAGATTTGTAGGATGGAGAAACTTTACCATATGCATGAAGACAAGATGGGGTCATACTATGTGAAATGGTAAAAATGGGAAGAATTTGGATTGAAGGTGAAATATAGGAAGCTATAATGTGTGATGATGTGAATGCTCCTCTTGCTTTTGTAGGGAAGATGTGGGGAAATGCAGAGAGGGTAAAATGGGAAGGGGGGAGGGGGGATGGAGGGGAGGGTAGTTGGGAAGGTGTGGGAAAATAGTTATAGAAAGGGAAATAAATAATGGTTTTGTATGTTTTATGAGAATATGATGGAAATATGTATTTATTTGAAAAACTAATAAATATTTAAATTAAAAAAAAAAAAAGTAGTACCCATCAGCTCTTCTTCTTTAATACAAGAGCTCTTATTCACATTACTGAAGGTTTGCTAGATGCTTAGAAATTGACTGGCAAGTGAATGTATAGACATTTATTATTTTCATCAAGACAACCATGATCCTCTACAAGACGCTTTCCTGTGGTAATAGCAAGTGCATGAAAACACCCCAAATTCAGGTGTCTCTTTAGTATTGTTGCACAGTAGAGGAGCAGGGACATAAATACAGAGCAGTTCATTCATGTCAAAAGGTTTGGATCTGGCTTCTGTATAAGGAGCTCTTAACACAGGCACAGAGGTCCGTGCGGTGTAAATTAGGCATGTGTTTTTGCAGTGCCCAGTTGTGATAGGTATTTGTGTACAACCACCTGTACAAATCATTGGCAGGCAGTTTAGGCCCAGGGCTGCCCATTCATTTGTGTATGCATGCAAGCACTCGGAAGTGTGGGGACACATGTACAAGCCACAGACGGTCATTGATTTGTTCAGGCGGCTCTACACAAACATCAGCTCTCTGCTCAAAGAACACTGAGAAATGAGTAATCAGCAAAACTTGCTTGTGCAGTTCAGTCTTAGAGTTGGCTCAGGACATATGCAGCATAGGATTGGACTTAGGTGATGAGATTGTGCAGGCTAGCCACTGTCACATCTACTGAGTATGCTTCAGTTTCAGTTCCTTTCTAAGCTGTTCATTTCCTCTTTTTTGTCATTCGTAAAAGAAAGTTCCCTCCCTCCTCCTCCATGTCCTCATATTGCTAAACATTATGGGGGCAGCATATAAGATGCTGATTGATGGAGGCTTCACCTCCCTGTTAGTCCCATACCCAGCATACACACCCAATAGACACAGGCTAAACGGGCGTGACACTGCCTGTGATTGGCAGAGCCTCCTCTAGATATCTTTACAGTGTGAACAAACTGAAAGCTATTGTCAATCAACTTAAAATTCGTCTGCACCATGTTACTTAATACTCGAAAAAAAAAACGAGAAAAAAAAAAAAAACAAACACATATTTCCTTGGCAATAAAGATTTGTAATAAGATAAAAAAAACACTTTGTAGCTATTGATTGTTTATTTTGCTTCTCTATGCTGAGGCAGTTTTGTAATGTCATGTGACACAGATTCAAAGTTCAGATGTCTTCTCTATAGAGCATACTTCAGCAGAGTACTAGAAAATCCCCCTTCAGATCTTTCCCTGAGAACAGGAAAGACTTGAGAAATGTCATTTGACATTGAAGGCATGAGGCATTCAGATGCTTTTTTATATCAAATAAATATAGTGGCATGATCTTTTATACATAAATAAAAAGGGTAATGGCAACTAAACAGCATAGGTTTAGAATCACTTTAAAGCCTACAGTTGTGTTCAAAATAATAGCAGTCAGACATCACTAACCTGGTCAATCACTGTTTTTTGGTAGAAATGATATTTCTACATGGCAAATAATTTACTAGCAGGTGTAGTAGAGTAATAGAAATCCAACAGACCCAACAGTCATGACATGCATGCTGCTGATTCTGTGTAATTGAATCACTAATTGAAAGGGGCATGTTCAAAATAATAACAGTGTGGAGTTCTATTAGTGAGGTCATTCATTCTTTGAAAAACAGGTGACAATTATTGCCCTTATTTAAGGAAGGAAGGCAGCAAATGTTGTACATGCTGGTTACATTGCATTTCTCTCTGAAATTCTGAGGAAAATGGGTCGTTCCAGACATTGTTCAGAAGAACAGCGTACCTTGATTAAAAAGTTGATTGGAGAGGGGAAAACATATAAAGAAGTGCAGAAAATGATAGGCTGCTCAGCTAAAATTATTGCAAATGCTTTAAAATGGCAAACAAAACCTGAAAGACGTGGAAAAAAGCAAAAAACTACCATTCGAATGGATAGAAGAATAGCCAAAATGGCAAGGACTCAGCCAACAATCAGCTCCAGGAAGATCAAAGAAGGTCTAAAGTTACCTGTGAGTACTGTTACAATTAGAAGATGCCTATGTGAAGCCAAGCTATCTGCAAGAAGCCCCCGCAAAGTCCCACTGTTGAAAAAAAGACATGTGCTGAAGAGGTTACAATTTGCCAAAGAGCACATTGACTGGCCTAAAGAGAAATGGCGCAACATTTTGTGGACTGATGAAAGTAAGATTGTTCTTTTTGGGTCTAGTGGCCGGAGACAGTTTGTCAGACGACCCCCCAAACAGTGAATTCAAGCCACAGTACACTGTGAAGACAGTGAAGCATGGTGGTGCAAGCATCATGATATGGGGATGTTTCTCATACTACGGTGTTGGGCCTATTTATCGCATACCAGGGATCATGGATCAGTTTGAATACATCAGAATACTTGAAGAGGTCATACTGCCTTATGCTGAAGAGGAAATGCCCTTGAAATGGGTGTTCCAACAAGACAACGACCCCAAACACACTAGTAAACGTGCAACATCTTGGTTCCAGACCAACAAGATTGACGTTATGGAGTGGCCAGCCCAATCCCCGGATCTTAATCCAATAGAAAACTTGTGGGGTGATATCAAAAATGCAGTTTCTGAGGCAAAACCAAGAAATAGAGAAGAACTGTGGAATGTAGTCCAATCATCCTGGGCTGGAATACCTGTTCACAGGTGCCAGAAGTTGGTTGACTCCATGCAACACAGATGTACAGCAGTTCTCAGAAACAGTGCTTATACAACTAAATATTAATTAGGTGATTCAAAGGAAAGCAAAATCTTCAAACATTTTTCAGTTTATATAGTGAATGTTTGAGTTTGTAAAGAAGAATACAAACACTGCTATTTTTTTTGAATAGTCTAATATTCACTTTTCTTCAATTTTTTTAAAGGAACAACACAAATTTGATATATTTTTCTTCATGTTTTGATTTGGAATAGAATGTGTAGTGTTCCCAATGCATTTGTGTGTATGGAAATAAAAGCTATTAGAAGGATTTTGAGCTTTATTCACTTTTTTCAACACACTGCTATTATTTTGAACACAACTGTATGTGAAGCCAAATCTTTTTCTTTAAAATTTGGACAGAATGTGGAAGCAGTATTCTTCTCTGCTTGTGAGACTCGCCCTCAACTTTGGACCTGGAGAAGTTTGTCTCTGGTACACAGAGTAATGGGAAAGCCAACATTTTTGAGTTGTTACAGGAACAGTGGGTTGAGGGAAGTCTTACATGTGTGACACTGAGCAGCTGTAAATGACAGTGCACCTATTCAAATATCAAAAAAGGAACAGGCTGGGGAGAAAGAGGCTAGATGATGCTGGTTATCTGCCCAGAAAGTGATACAGCCGCAATTGGAGAATAGGCTGCTTCTAATGCACACTGTAAGTTTCTAATGTGTAGAAATATGAGAGTTGCTACAGTGTGATCAACAGACAAAGCTGTACATTGGCTAAAGATTTAAGGTAGGAGGGGTTCTTTAAGTTTAATATCACTGATCTCTGCAAACGAAAAAAGGTGCAAATCTCTTACCAGTCCATTCAAATTCTTTATGTTATTCCTTCCCAAAGACAGTATTCTGAGATTTTCTGAAAGACAAGGCTTGTTTAAGCAACAAGATGTAGAACTTAGATACATATACACAACACTGGTAAATTTATAAGAACCTTTACAACATTACCACTAAACAAGAAGAAAGAAAACAAAACAAAAATAAAGCGCAGCTAAGTGCAGTACTGTGAAATTTTATTCAATAATGCTTACAAAATGGCCACTCACATACAGTACATATGCAGTGCAGAGCACAAAGGAATAACATGTTGAGACACTACACTTCTTCCCATGTAACCTGAAGTTCAGGCTCGGGGAAGCCCCATGATGTTATCCAATCACAGGAAACACCCGTGGAAGTGTCCCTTTGATAGGATGACATCATGGGGCTTCCCGGAGCTGGCGAAGTCAAGGACCTTATGAAAGCGGTATCCAGTGCGACTTGCTGAGCTGATCTCCAGGCTGCATGAGAAACAATGTGGCGTCGTCACATGATTTCTTTATGCTTTCTATTCATATGTATGGCCTTTTTTTCAGCTTTAAACGGAGTCAAGTTTCACAATACTACACTTAGATGCGCCCTTTTCTGCTTTCTTTTCTTCTTGCTTGGAGACATTCCTTATCTTTATAGGGAGCAGCAGCCACGTTGTACATCCCTGGCTCAGTGTCCATTCCTGCTTGTACCTGATAATGTAGAAGATACCATCCTTATGCTTGGACTATTGCAATCTGTTGTTTTGTGTGCTGATGGTTTTTGTGCATGTTTTCACGCACATACTTGCTTACAACTGTACCACTTTATAACGGATCAATTACCCACAGCTTACTGGGACAGTGCATGTAATCAGGGATCCCTACAATATACTCAACTGCAATCAGCGATTGTAGAAGAATTAAATATGTATATTGCTTGCTGCAGCCTGTAGTGAGCCCATTCAAAATCTAAAAAAGAGATACTCAACATTTTGAAGAGCGATGGCCACTTAAGTGATCTGGTAACAGGTCACGGGCCACAATGAATTATGGGGTTTTACCGCCACCCAAACTGTAAATAAGTCCTTACCCTACTGAGCCCCCTATTAGGCTGCTTTCACACTGATGTACTGCAGTTTACTGTGCTGCATCTGCAGATCAGTATGAAAGCAGCCTAATAACTTTTTTTTGTAAGTGCTGACATGCCCATTGCAAAAGAGCAGGGTATAGGATGTTTTATACACTGATCTTTTCCTCTTCCAGCTTCTGCTGCCATCTCTCTCCAGGCTGCTGGAAAGTTCCCAGGCGAAGTGCACTTGGTATCACTCCGCCTGGGAGAGGAGTCGGTGCTAAAGAGGAAGCACTGGCTTATGAGGCTCCTGCTCCCTACGCAGCGGCCTGCTCTCTCTGCAGCTGGCACTGACTCCATGCAATCTGATGCTTTGGGATGGCAGGTTGAAAGCCCAATGACTACAATCTGGGCTTGCCGACCCACATCCTACCTAGAGCATGGGCATGTGCTTCCCTGGTTTGAGGTCGCAGGCCACATCAGAGGGCTCCACGGGCCATGGGTTGAACACACCCCGATCTAAAGTATCAAAGGATTACTACAATAAGTTAAACAGAGATCGTGATGATTAGATGATGCATACAACTAAAGTGATTCAAAACAGGAATTTGAAATTATTAAACTGGAGTAACAAGCAGAAATGTTTCACTTACTCAGACCATTCAGGTTAGCTATCTTTTCAATGCAGTTGGTTGAAAGAGATAATTTCCTAAAGAGAGAAAAATATATATAAAGATTTGGAAAGCTTTAGCACACTTGAAGGATGACAACCTTTTGTATGAGCTTGCCATTTGTGTCATGTATGGCAAAAACACTGCTAGAATGAGCTATTGAAGACAACATGGGGATTACTTTACATGCCAATTTACCTTTTATCTGTTCAAACCTACACAAGGGACAGGAGAGATGGTTTAAAATGTCTTGAGAGTCTTTTGCCTCCTCTGGATGTCCCCTGCACCTCCTCCTCCTATAGATTTCTTGCTGAATTTTGTCACAAATGCCCAGAGGTGGCCAGAATAGAGAAGCAAAATAGAGAAAAACTTATCACAAATAGTTAATTCTAGGGCTTGGTATTGCCCTTCTTACCCTGCCGCCCTAGGCACTGGCTCACAAGTGCAATTATGTTAAATACAGCCCTGATGACATGCTACATTTTAAACTCCTGATGTCAAGTCAGCTGTGCACAAAATATGGGCTCATTTAATGACATCATTCAAAGAACTATGTTATTGCCAACAAAGTCATTAGTCAGAATGTTGCTGGACACACAATGCACCCCAATTCATTCCTGTGGAGAGTTACCCAGTATGAGCTATGATATCTGCTAACATTTAAAGGGGAATATCATACTAATTTTACTGAATTGTACCTTGTTAAAGAAAGAAAGAATGTAATGTAATGAAGATTAACCAGGGACCCATTTATAAGGTATCAGCAGCCTTGGTTTCATCCACTCAACATTAGCTACTCTAAGTGTCACACATACATTGGTCATTATTGCTATGACCAGTGAGAAATTTATGCTGCCAAACCTTTGCAATGAAAGCAGAAGAATGTTGTCTTGCATGACCTAGCAAATAAATAATATATTGACGAATATAAATTAAATCAGAGGGCTTCAGTGCAAAAGCAGGACACAGTGTATGACTCATTTCTTGGAATTTTAATATTCAAGTAGAGACCAGATAATTATATGAGCAAATTCCAAAAAAGGCTAAAAAGATAATCTGTTCACTTAGGGAAAAGTAACAGGTTCAATAAATAGAAGGCACTCTCCAAGACTTGAACTTGCTTTTCATTCCCTCCCATGCCACCCTGATTTCCCCACTGGTGCCTTGAGTATGGGGAGTGTATGGCTCTCTTTCATGCATCTCTCAATTTAGCTAGGGTTGCAGTAACAACCGATTAACTAAGCTTGAGCGTTGTAACATGGGGGCAAGTGGATGATCTGGATGGGGGGGGGGGGGGGTGAGAGAATTGGGGGTAGGAAGTCCTTAGAGTTAGGTAAGCTTTAACCAACTGCCAATCCAGATCTTACGCACTGATTCTCATGGGAGCTCCAGCAGGCAAAATGGGTGGCAAAGGAGTGAGTGGAAAGTAAACGTAAGTACAAGGACCAGAAAGTACATTCAATCCTCAAATCTGTTAGTTTGGGCAAAGTACGGATTCTCCTTCAAATCAGTATGGAGAGATATGGAGGATAAGAAGATTTATAAAACATTGGAAAACTTGGTTATGGGTGAAGTCATCCACGTTTTACATGAGTTCCACAGATGACTATTCCACAACCACAGATCTTAGTGCATATAGGATCACAGTATCTGGGGTTTCCGCAGAGTATTTAAGGAAAACAAAATGTTAACTTACTGAAGAAATAAAAAGCCTCAAATCAAGTCTAAAAGAACAGCTTCTACCTTTTAGTTCCTGTAAGCCAGAGCTGTGTAAATTGTGGGATAGAAATTGTAATATTTTTAACCTTAACCACTTCAAGTCTGAACACTTTCACCCCCTTCCTGTACAGGCCAATTTTCAGCTTTCAGTGCTATCACACTTTGAATGACAATTGCGCGGTCATGCAACACTGTACCCATATGAATTGTTTAGCATTTTTTTGAGACAGATAAAACTTTATTTTGGTGGTATTTATTCACCACTGGGATTTTTTTTTTGCTATATAAATGAAAAAGTCCAAACATTTTGAAAAAAAAGTGTTTTTCTTATAAAATTTTGAAAATAAATAATCTTTCTTCATAAATCTTGGCCAAAATGTATTCAGCTATCTTTTAAGTAAAAACAAAATAACCAAAAATTAGTTTATAACCAAAAAAATTATAATTTTTAAAACATATTTTTTACATTTTTATATTATTATTTATGTTTTTTTAACATACTGTCACCCTAGCAGTACTGTGTCACCATAGTGACACTGTACTACTTAGGGGTGATTATTTTTTTTTTTTTACACTGATTGCTTTTACACCCATAAAGGATGTAAAAGCAATCATTTCTTCTCCTCTCTAGCTGCATTCTTGCAGCCATTGAGAACTACTGAGTGAGCTGTGATTGGTCACAGCTTGTCACATGGTACAAGGCTGTTGTGAATAGCGTTGTACCATGTGACCTCTGTGATCATTCACAGATTTCACTAGTAGTAAGCAATGATGTCAGGAAGTGACATCTTGCTTACTACTCTTCATGTGATCACTGATTGGCCAATCAGTGATCACATGATCGGGACCTCGCACAGAGGTCCCGTACAGCGATTGGTGTTCTGCTGTGTCCTCTGGACGCAGCGGGCACTGGATCACGGTGCGTGCGGTCCCAGGGAGCACGCACAAGCAGGAAATGAGGGAGGACATTTATAAACGGCCACCCACTCCTGCACGGCTACTGTCCGGCCGTTTATGTATATGAGCTGGAAAGGGAATGGTTAATGACAATGTTAGTATGTGTTCAGCAGTAATACCTCACTGATCATGGTCAGGAATGAAGACATCCATCTCTGTCCCTTCCATGAGTTATTCTAAACCAGTGAAAATCATTCAGTGTGCAGTGTTGCCTTTATGAGACATACAGTCAGGTCCATAAATATTGGGACATCGACACAATTCTAACATTTTTGGCTCTATGCACCACCACAATGGATTTGAAATGAAACAAACTAGATGTGCTTTAACTGCAGACTGTCAGCTTTAGTTTGAGGGTATTTACTAATCAGGTGAACGGTGTAGGAATTACAACAGTTTGCATATGTGCCTCCCACTTGTTAAGGGACCAAAAGTAATGGGACAATTGGCTTCTCAGCTGTTCCATAGCCAGGTGTGTTTTATTCCCTCATTATCCCAATTACAATGAGCAGATAAAAGGTCCAGAGTTCATTTCAAGTGTGCTATTTGCATTTGGAATCTGTTGCTGTCAACTCTCAAGATGAGATCCAAAGAGCTGTCACCATCAGTGAAGCAAGCCATCATTAGGCTGAAAAAACAAACCCATCAGAGAGATAGCAAAAACATTAGGCGTGGCCAAAACAACTGTTTGGCACATTCTAAAAAGAAGGAATGCACCGGTGAGCTCAGCAACACCAAAAGACCCGGAAGACCACGGAAAACAACTGTGGTGGATGACCGAAGAATTCTTTCCCTGGTGAAGAAAACACCCTTCACAACAGTTGGCCAGATCAAGAACACTCTCCAGGGTAGGTGAATGTGTGTCAAAGTCAACAATCAAGAGAAGACTTCGCCAGAGTGAACACAGAGGGTTCACCACAAGATGTAAACCATTGGTGAGCCTAAAAAAACAGGAAGGCCAGATTAGAGTTTGCCAAACGACATCTAAAAAAGCCTTCACAGTTCTGGAACAACATCCTATGGACAGATGAGACCAAGATCAACTTGTACCAGAGTGATGGGCAGAGAAGAGTATGGAGAAGGAAAGGAGCTGCTCATGATCCTAAGCATATCACCTCATCAGTGAAGCATGGTGGTGGTAGTGTCATGGCGTGGGCATGTATGGCTGCCAATGGAACTGGTTCTCTTGTATTTATTGATGATGTGACTGCTGACAAAAGCAGCAGGATGAATTCTGAAGTGTTTCGGGCAATATTATCTGCTCATATTCAGCCAAATGCTTCACAACTCATTGGACGCCGCTTCACAGTGCAGATGGACAATGACCCAAAGCATACTGCAAAAGCAACCAAAGAGTTTAAGGGAAAGAAGTGGAATGTTATGCAATGGCCAAGTCAATCACCTGACCTGAATCCGATTGAGCATGCATTTCACTTGCTGAAGACAAAACTGAAGGGAAAATGCCCCAAGAACAAGCAGGAACTGAAGACAGTTGCAGTAGAGGCCTGGCAGAGCATCACCAGGGATGAAACCCAGCGTCTGGTGATGTCTATGCGTTCCACACTTCAGGCTGTAATTGACTGCAAAGGATTTGCAACCAAGTATGAAAAAGTGAAAGTTTGATTTATGATTATTATTCTGTCCCATTACTTTTGGTCCCTTAACAAGTGGGAGGCACATATGCAAACTGTTGTAATTCCTACACCATTCACCTGATTTGGATGTAAATACCCTCAAATTAAAGCTGACAGTCTGCAGTTAAAGCACATCTTGTTTGTTTCATTTCAAATCCATTGTGGTGGTGTATAGAGCCAAAAATGTTAGAATTGTGTCGATGTCCCAATATTTATGGACCTGACTGTAACAACATAGCTCCCTCTTCTGTAATCACAAAGTGTACATAAGACAAAGTAGCGCTTTAGAAACTTTTGCATTGTTTAATATAGCATTGTATACACCAAAATTATTTTATTTTATGGTAAATAAATGTTATGATTAGCTGTTAAGAATTGTGGGCGGATTTCCCAATCTTGATGCAATGAGCTACTACTGAAAAGTGACTGATATTCTTACTCGCAATTGACCAATGTGGACAGAGATGCATCCATCTTTTCAATGGGCGGAATCTGTGCATACAGCTTAACCTCTTTTGCTTCAGATGCTTTCTGTCCTGTCTTTTCCTCCTGGACAGGGGAAAAAAAAAACATTTTATGCAGTTGGGAAAATATAGGTCATCATGTCATTTATAATGAATAAAATCTGCAATTAAGAGTGTGAATCATACAAATCTAGAGTAAAAATTTTGTAAGATTTTTGTTTTGCTTTGAATGGAAAAAAAAAGTGTTTTAAAGTGGTATTAAAACACACAAATGTATTAAATTACAGCTTACCAATTCTTAGATGTGGTGGCTGAATAAGTTTTCTTTGCTAGGCTTTCTTCCCTTATTTTCACCTGGTGATCCGGCCAGTAAGTCTGTTATTTGTCTACTTACTTTAAAGTGTTACTAAATTCAGGACCCTACAATCACTATACCTGGTCTCCCACAGTACACAGAACACTGAAATGCAATTATTGTAGTAAATATAAACTGCTAAATACCTTTTTCTCATCAGCAGTTAGAGCAGTCTTGTGACTTCTATCAGTGTCCAGCTGAGCACTAGTTATAGCTTGTAGGAGTTTTCCATCTCTTCTGACTGTCCTATGAGGCTGCATGACCCCTGACCCTCTGTTTGGATAGTACTGAATGGCCCAGTGCTGATCACATGCACCCTCCCAAAGAAAAAAAAAAAACAACTCTAGCCATACACACTAAACTGAGCATGTGCAGAGTAACTCCTAGAGCTCTGTACTATCAGCAGATGGATTGGGAACAACAGAAGAAGGGGAGGATCAGAGAAGACAGGATCAAACATCCTTTTTACACAATGTAGAGGATTAACCCTTTAGGTTCCACACTGAGTATAACAAGCATGCTTTACTGCATATGCAGAGTGATATTACTGTTGTGGGTTTAGTAACATTTTAAGGGACTGTTCACACAGCCCAGACAGCTGCTGCAGTGGCTCAGTATGCGGAAGTTGTCCGTTCCCACCTGCAGTGAGCCAGCAGCAGGGAGCGATGTGATCCATGTTTTAGCACATCACAGTTTCCTTTTTCCTCAACTTTATTTGAAGTTTACAAGGTGACAATATATTCATGTCACTGTAAAGCAGATTGGTGCACTGTGCTGCTGTGCAGTGGCATGCTGTCCTGCCTGGAACACTATAAAATGCAGCATGCCCGAATTTATTGGGGTTCACTACAGTGCAGCTCTGGGCTGTGTTGCAATGGGAGTAGGACACACGGAAATGTTTTATGTGTGTCCTAGAGGTGATTGGGATTTATCCAGTGCAGTGTGGAAAAATGTCAGTCACCGCAGCATGTGTGAAGTGGCCCTAAACAGACAAAGCTGTTTAGACAAAGTGGCAGTTAGAGAGTTGAAACAAATTATATAATACTGACAGGAGTGCCACAATGTTAAAATTGTATTAATTTATGTACAACCTCTATCCCAAAAGGAAAACTGCTGCAACTGGTCAGCTTCAATCTGTGAGTCAAGTCCATCTAAATCTGCTACATTAACACTACCTCACCCTGACTGACTATGCTGCTGTCCAAAGATATCTGTCTTACCACTTCATCCAGAATGCAGACACCCTAAGACAGGAAATGTGTTACTGGCAGGATCACAAGGTTAAATAAAGGGACCAAAGCCTGAAAAAAGATAACAAATCCAGCCCCCATATCTAAGGATTCACCAGCTACACTATATCCAAAGAACTAAAGAAAAAGGGTTGGGTGGGACATACGTACACTTTAAAAGAAACAATAAAAACCAAGTTAAGTTTTGTAAAGCAGAATTTCAAAAGTTTTATCAGAAATCCAATGCTGCCCATACATGTAAACAAATATTTACCGAATTTATGAAAGATAAGCTTCTTTCGTAAAAACATTTATAATGAATAGTAAAGTTTTCTGCATGGGCAGCATAAAATTCAAACCAAGCTGAAAAATACAATACAACATGGAACGCAGGAATAAATGAATGTGTGTCATAATTACCAATCCTTTGTCTGCCCTGAATAAACACCACCATGATTACTGTTGAATATGCATTCAAGTTTACAATCTCTTTTCTGAATGAACAGGAAGCCCTCTATACTGAACACTCACAGAACTTCCTTCCTGTTTGTAAGTGCAGCTGCAAAGAAGGAGATGGAGGACTCTGTGTCCTCAATCATTTTCTCTGTTTCAAAAGTGAATTTCCTCAGCATATAAGAATGCATTCGTCCAGCCACTGTATATAAATGGCCGGACGGTGGCAGTGCAGGGTCGGGTGGCCGTTTATAAACAGGGAGCGCGCAGCACTGCAATCCAGTGCGCGCTGTGTCCACCGGACACAGTGGAACACCGATCGTCGGACGGGACCTCTGTACGAGGTCCCGATCATGTGATCACTGATTGGCCAATCAGTGATCACATGCAGAGTAGTAAGCAAGATATCACTTGTGACATCATTGCTTACTACATGTGAAATCTGTAAATGATCACAGAGGTCACATGGTACAAGGCTATTCACAACAGCCTTGTACCATGTGACAAGCTGTGACCAATCACAGCTCACTCAGTAGTTCTCAATGGCTGCAAGAATGCAGCTAGAGAGTAGAAATGATTGCTTTTACATCCATAAAGGATGTAAAAGCAATCAGTGTAAAAAAAAAATCTTCATCACCCCCCCACAAGTAGTACAGTATCACCATGGTGACACTGTACTGCTAGGGTGACAGTATATAAAAAAAAATTAAAAATATTAAAAAAAATTAAAAGAAAAATGTTTTTAAAAATTATAATTTTTGGTTATAAACTAATTTGGGTTATTTTTTTTACTAAAAATATAACAGAATAAATGTTGGCCAAGATTTATGATGAAATACTATTTATTTGCAAAATGTTATAAGAAAACCACTCTTTTTCAAAATTTGTGGACATTTTAATTTACTTAGCAAAAAAAATAAAAATCCCAGTGGTGAATAAATACCACCAAAGTAAAGCTTTATCTGTCTCAAAAAAAAATGCTAAAAAATTCATATGGGTACAGTGTTGCATGACCGCCAATTGTCATTCAAAGTGTGATAGCACTGAAAGCTGAAAATTGGCCTGGACAGGAAGGGGGTGAAAGTGTCCGGACTTGAAGTGGTTAATGCACGGGTGTCAAACTGGCAGCCCTCCACCTGTTGCCAAACTACAAGTCCCATGAGGCATTGCAAGACTGACAGTTATAAGCATGACTCCCAAAGGCAGAGGCATGATGGGACTTGTAGTTTTGCAACAGCTGAAGGGCTGCCAGTTTGACACCCCAGCTTTAAATTCATATAAAATTATTCAAAAGATATCAAACTTCCAGGACTGCCCAGAAAATATTAGATGAAATTTAACTAATAAAGTTCCCACAGCCACATCAATCCCTACACCTTAGCATGTAAAATACTTCTGTAAAAAACTGAATCACTGAGAAGACTAGGCAGTCGGAAGACTACAAAAATATTGGCACCCTATAACAGGAAGTGCCTGAACGAGGATCTACGGGGGGAATCACCATCATTATTTTAATGAAAGCTGCAGATTTAATAACATTAAAATCGATTTTCAGAATTACATTAACATGTTACAGATCATCTGGTTAGGTTTACATATACTCTATTGATAATATATACTGATTATTTGGAAGGTTATACTGTTACTGTGACATGTCAGGAATTTATTCATGTAGACTTATTACTGAAAGATCCAATTCAAAATGCTCCTCTAAACATACACTTCAAATGCACTTATAATTATACAACATTTACTCCAACATCATACGCACATTTACACAGCAAGGAACACTAAATAGCACACAGACTGTGAGAGTTACCAGTGCAATCACGTTTGTATGTAAACTGGAAGAAAGTCTTACCCATTTGGCTAAGGCATCTTTAATAGTTGTTGGTTTGGCCTAAAAAAAAAAAAAAAAATCAAGTTTGACAATTTATTTTTAAATCAATTTTATGTGAACAGAAATTCAATTGTCAGCTGTTTTCTTTAACAAACAAAAGGGTTTGTTTTTATTTATAAATTTGCTGGTTGCTATGGGGTCCTATAGGCACAGACAACATAGCTACTGGTGCCCTAAGAATCAGTAAAAACTGCTACTTGTGACACAGAGACCCTATATACACAGACAAAAAGCAAGTCACATTACAGTTGCTGGTGACAAGGAGAATGTATATCATCAACAAAATGCTAATGCTGCTGTGGAAAGCCTACTGGTTCCATAGAAACCCTATATGAACGGGAAAACAGATACTGGTACCATAGTGACAATAAGCATGGGGAAACAGGTACTGGTACCACAGTGACTCTATATGCACAGGAAAACAGGTACTGGTGCCATAGTGACCCTACATGCACAGGAAAACAGGTACTGGTGCCATAGTGACCCTATATGCACAGGAAAACAGGTACTGGTGCCATAGTGACCCTACATGCACAGGAAAACAGGTACTGGTACCATAATGACCTTATATGCACAGGAAAACAGGTACTGGTGCCATAGTGACCCTATATGCACAGGAAAACAGGTACTGGTGCCATAGTGACCCTATATGCACAGGAAAATAGATACTGGTGCCATAGTGACCCTATATGCACAGGAAAATAGATACTGGTGCCATAGTGACCCTATATGCACAGGAAAACAGGTACTGGTACCATAGTGACCCTATATGCACAGGAAAATAGATACTGGTGCCATAGTGACCCTATATGCACAGGAAAACAGGTACTGGTACCATAGTGACTCTATATGCACAGGAAAATAGATACTGGTGCCATAGTGACCCTACATGCACAGGAAAACAGGTACTGGTGCCATAGTGACCCTATATGCACAGGAAAATAGATACTGGTGCCATAGTGACCCTATATGCACAGGAAAACAGGTACTGGTACCATAGTGACCCTATATGCACAGGAAAACAGGTACTGGTACCATAGTGACCCTATATGCACAGGAAAACAGGTACTGGTGCCATAGTGACCCTATATGCACAGGAAAACAGATACCGGTACCATAGTGACTCTATATGCACAGGAAAACAGATACCGGTACCATAGTGACTCTATATGCACAGGAAAACAGATACCGGTACCATAGTGACTCTATATGCACAGGAAAACAGGTACTGGTACTGCAGTGACTATATGCAAGGGGAAACATACTAGTACCATAGTGCCTCTATATACACTGGAAAACAGACACTAGTGCTATGGTGACCCTATATGAACAGGAAACACATACGGATACCATATTGACCCTTAGGATAGAGTGATGTGGGGTTAGAACAACTGTCCAGTTTTCTTGCTGTCCCCATTAGGGAGACTCACCCTTTCATATTGCCCTTATCACCAATGTCACCAGGAATGAAAGTAAGTTTAAATCTAAAATTCAGAGTTGCCATCACAACAGGAGTAGAGGGGAAACCTTCCACTGGGGATACTTGCTCCTGTGTCAGCTGTATGAAAGGAGATATCCATCACATTGGCAGGATATCCTCCCACGTCCTGTTGAGTTTACATGACAGGAAGTAAAGAGAAATCCCCCTAAAAAACCAGAGCAGTTAGAGGTCAGGGGGAGAAATGTAAAGATATCTGGCAAGGGTGGATGTTTTAGTCCTCTGAAATGCCAGATGCATGAGTCTTTTCGAGTAGCTTCCCTGTTAGGTGCTCACAATTTGAGCCGGTAGGTACACATGGGTTTTTTTTTTACTAATGCTATTTGGCCCTTACCGCTTCTGCGGACTGATTTACTGGATGTTTCTGGAAGTCTAGTGCTGTGTGGGAGGGAGGTTCTTTCTTTCCTTTTTTCTTCCCCCCTTTTTTTTTCCTCTTTCTTTCCTTTCATTTGTTTGACTTATGGATATTCTGTTTATGCGCAACTATGGTCAAGATGTTTGTTTACCTCTGTTGTCATATGGGGGTTTCCTTTGTATTTATTACTTCTTTGTCAGATTGAAGTATATCCGCTGACTTATTGTTCATTTTATGTCATCGGAAAATGTTAATAAAAGATTGATAAAAAAAAAAAAAAAAAAAAAAACTAGAGCAGTTTAACCCAAAAAAGTTTGGGGTTTAGATATACTTAAAGCGGTAGTAAACCACATAAAAAAATCTAAAAATATTCTTCTCCCTGCAAGTTAAGAGCCTAAAGTGCTAGTATGCATCCCATACTAGCACTTTATGAAAGGCTTACCTAAAAATGAAGCCCTCCAGCAGAATACAGTCACCTCTTCCTGGGGTTTCCATCTTCACCTGGTCTTACTGCCGGGTTTGCCGGCTGCGGCCTTTTGACTGGTCGAGCCACATTGACGTCACTCCCACGCATGTGCACTGGAGTCTTGGATGCAGCACGGCTCTCTCAATGAAAGGCATGCCGTCCATTGATAGTGCAGTGCCCATGTCACCGGTGCTGCTAAAGTACATATCTCCTAAACAGTGCACATTTAGGAAATATTTACAGTACCTACAGGTAAGCTTTATTAAAGGCTTACCTGTAGATCAAACAAAAAAAAAATACTTTACTACCACTTTAAACAGATTCCCCATAGGATAATTGGCAGAATGCAGTCTAGTGAGCATTGGAAGCCTCTGTGTCAGGTCACACACTGTAGTAAGGACTCCATGGGGTTGATTTACTTAAACCTATTCCTTCTGTATTGAACTGTATTGTAATTGACCTATCCCTCTTTATATTGTAAAGTGATGCGGAAACTGTTGGTGCTATATAAATCCTGTATAATAATAATAATAATAAGAATAAGAATATACTTGTGAGATAACAATAAGTGTTCCTTGCTATGCAAGAACACTTAACTAGAAAAGCTACAATTTCTGGGGAAATTGTGTGAAGTGTTCTTGCCTCCACTCTGCTGGCTGCTCACACACCTGGGTTCCTATGGCAACTCACTCTACAGCAAGGGCAGAGAAGAGTGGTTAAAAACAAACTGCTCCAACTTGCTCACTTCACAGGCGGTTGCCATCTTCAAACGGTTGTAGTTTAATAATTATAAATCCTACACTGAAGAGATTTATATTATGAGAATCACAAGACCCAGGCCTACATTTTGATGCATGGTATGTCTCTGAAATATTAAAAATTAGGGCACAGTCGCAGTTTAGAAATTGCCCTTCAAATTTGAGGTGGCTAGAGTGGAGTTTCAATGAATGTCAATGGGCGGTGTGAGTTGCAAACAAATGGTCATATTGTGAAAAATATCAGGACTATGGCTTAGCCGTGGACATTTTTAGTGGCAGCAGGGATAGCTGAACGTTTTGATATACGATTTGTGTAGGTGGGCTTGAAAATGAGGGAGTGATGGCAGTTTAGAAATCATGTCCTGATTTTTCAGCTCCCACTCTAGCTTTTGTCAGCTCCCACTCTAGTTTTGAACATTCCGCCATTCATTCCTATGGGACCAATTTCACCACAAAAACGCCGATATTTCGTGAACCATTCAGCGAAACATTCCACAAAGTAATAGCACACCAATAGGGAACAATCTGCACATTTCGGTATATTACTGTCTATGTAGTGTAAAAACTGTGGGAGGAGTTAGGGTGGTAAATTTGGCTATAATAATAAGAATATATATGTGAGATAACAGTAAGTGGTCTTGCCATGCAAGAACACTTAATTACAACTGGAGAGTGCAAAATCTGGTGCAGCTGGTCATGGTAGCCAATCAGCTTCTAATTTCAGCTTGTTCAAATAAGCCCTGGTTCACACTTGTGCGGACTGTGCAGCCTGTGTGTGTGTGGGCACGGTAGCCTATTCATTTGGGCTACTGTGTCTACATTTGCGGCAAAAAAAGATGCATGCACATTTTTTTTAAAAACATGACCATGTGATTTCCCTATGGTTCCCCGCACCCACAAACGTGCTGCGGGCAGAGATGCGTGGGGGTGCCATTCATGTAAGAGCAGCGTGTTCTGGCTGCGGGTGGGGGAACAGATGCATTGCTCACACCCACAACCAGCCTGCACAATGTGAACCAAGGCTAAAACTTGGAAGCTGATTGGTCTCTATGCAGAACTGTACCAGATTTTGCACTCCCCAGTTTTAGTAAATCTCTTCAATGTGTATCTAAAGCCAAACTTTTTGATGTTTTAATAGGAAAGGGTTAAAACCTCTGTCAGGTTTGTATTGCTATTTGTGTCCTCACTGGGAAGATTTACCATCTCTATTTGTCCTGGTAACAAATTGTGACACTGTGTGTAGAATCCCTGAAATGCACTCCCATGCAGGAGGAAGTCACTCTCTTTGTTCGCTCAGAGCTACCGCATTAGGGGAGAGAAAGTACACGAGAGGGGGTCTGAATCAGAGAAAGAGCTCCTGTGATGGTGGAGGCACACACCAACACTAGGCCTCTCTTAGCAACGTCCTTAGTAACATCCTGGGAGTTTTTAAATCACTCTTCATGAGGTACATAAATGACCTACACCTATAGCAGACTACTACTATTCAATTTTGGTTGCTGCAAAGGTTGTTTTTACAAAGCAGCACAGTTTGTTTTTTTATCAACATTTGTCCTTTTTTATGCACTGGCAGTATTTTGGTAAAGGTGAACTAACGCTTTAAAGCCAAACTAAAGGGGCTGTAAAGGTCAAAGGTCTCTCTTACCTTAACCACCTGGCACTTTTACTCCCTTCCTGCCCAGGCCAATTTTCAGCTTTCAGCGCTGTCGCACTTTGAATGGCAATTGTGCAGTCATGCAACATTGTACCCATATGAAATTTTTTAACATTTTTTTTGAGACAAATAGAGCTTTCTTTTGGTGGTATTTATTCCCCACTGGGGCTTTTATTTTTTGCTAAACAAACAAAAAAATCAAGACCAAAAGTTCTGAAAAAGATAAACAAAAAGTTTTTCTTAGTTTCTGTTAAGCAGTTTTGTAAATA